TTAATTAATAATTTTTGTCTGAATAAGTACTTGTTCAAGGCTGTGTGGTGGGTTTTACTCAAAAGGAACTACGGTGAGATTGGTGTTGTGCTGTGTTGTTCAATACAGGCATAATGATCATTATCTAATTTAACCAGTTAGTTGATTTTATAGTTTCAGTACACAGTTTATTTTTATCAGTAATTCAGTCATTGATGACATTGTTTCTCATGTGCATTCAATAAAATTTCGAATATAACGCACTGACTCATAGGCCTGGTATTTTACTTAATTTAATTATACGATGATTAATATAGAGCTTTTTTGCCCAGGTCAACTTACGTTACGATAGCATTCGTTAACAAGTCGTCAGGTACGCACAGCATTTCTTGTTGTTCCGGAGTGCAAGTATTTCCTAGTTTTATAAAGCATATAAACAAATTATATAAGATTTTTATTACCACTTCCCATCTCTCCCTCACCAATTGTGCTCCTCCACACCCCCAATGAGCACTGTCGTAAATGAACAACCCTGAACCCCGGATTAAACGTTTCGCTTTTTAATTTTATCGCAGTTTCCTCATGAAGTGACACCTAGAATTTCAAAGATTACCCTAACTCGCCAGGGATGAACATTTATCAGGTACAATGCCCATACAAGTTTTCGAGATAACGGAGATATCTCAAATTATTAGTCAACATGAATATCAAAATGCATAGCTTATTTACAGGACTAAATAAATTGTTTATTGCTTCACAAGGCACGAAACTCACGTGAATGGGATGACATAGTCCGCTAATTTCACACATTTGATTGGAAACTTGGACCTACTTTACAGTCATGGTCTAGGAAAATAGAAAGAATCACTTTGAATAGGGTGCATGAACTGCCGCTGCTGACAAGTAGCGTTATTATGAACATATTAATCACATTAATGATCGCAAATCAGTTTATATAGTAACGCTGCGCGCCATCTCACGCAACAGCAAATGACGGGTCGCCTGCCGAAGACCACCACTGCCCTGGATGTAATGGACCATCATGATTCCTGCCTTCACCCGGATTAAGGGTTTCGCTTTTTAATTTTATCGCCGTTTCCGCATAAAGATGGCACCTATAATTTCAAAGGCTACCCTAACTCGCCAGGGATGACCATTATCAGGATACAATGCCCATACAAGTGTTCAAGATAACAGAGATATCTCAAATTATTAGTCAACATGAATATCAAAATGCATAGCTTATTTACAGGCCTAAAGAAATTGTTTATTGCTTTAAAAGGCACGAAACTCACGTGAATGGGATGACCTAGCCCGCTAATTTCACACATTTGATTGGAAACTTGGACCTACTTTACAGTCTAGGTCTAGGAAAATAGAAAGAATCACTTTGAATAGGGTGCATGAGCTGCTGCTGCTGACAAGTAGCGTTATTATAAACATATTAATCACATTATGATCACAAATCAGTTTATATAGTAACGCTGCGCGCCACCTCACGCAACAGCAAACGACGGGTCGCCTGCTGAAGACCACCACTGCCCTGGATGTAATGGACCATCATGCATGATTCCTGCCTTCCGGAACGTAGCCTTCAACACTTCAAGCCGTCCGTATCTAGGCCGTGGGTCGAACCAGCCCTCGGTCGAACGGCTACTTGTCGAAGGACGATAAATTTTGAAACAGAACTATGCTATCTGAAACCTGACCTTAGATGCGGTGGACGCAAAATTACGTAATTTAACGATGCCCGGAAGTCAGATTCGATCCGCGGCCTGGTGGTGCACGGCAGGTTCTATGCGAGGCCGGAGGAAGACAAAGCCGAGTGGTTCACGGCTGATTGTTGGATGTCCGGAGAGATCCAAGGCGTTCGATTCAGGGCTTATTGGTGCACAAAATTGGTGGTGCACGGCTGCGCTCCCCAAATGACAACTTGCAACTTTGACTCCTAGTATTGTTGCGACCGCCGCCCGCACCTTATGAAGCTCCAAACAAAAACTGCAATCACGGGCGTACTGGACGTGACAGCGCCATGTGGGAAGCTGCCGCTAGTTCATCTCATGAACTTAAAGAGGCACGAAAACATTTTTTAAAATCATGCAATGCGGCAAATTCTGGTATTGAAATAATGGGAAATACTCGTTAGAAGCGATGTAGAAATATCTGAACTGGACAGTTCAAGTCGACCATCAACTGATCATGGACAAGCCGACGTGGATAGCAAGTTTGTAGGCATCGAACTGATGATCTTCGTTACGATTATAAGGCAAGAATTAATGGGACTTTGATGTTAGATTCTGTAAATGCAGTCGGTAGTTCAACATCAGATCCCTATAGGGATAACTGATTACAAAAATTGTTCAGGCAAATGGAGCTGATTTTAAGAAATGAATTGAGGTCGATCATCCATAGACGTGTGGTTTAATCGGAGTAATTTGTTTCGGTTTATATTTAGAAGTCTTGAAGCTTGACTAATTCCTATCGTGGATGTCTCCTGATGCGGTCGGCGAGTGTTAATACGAAATTAAGCAAATTAAATAAATAAATAAATGAATTTGTAACTACCTGTTCATAAATGTTGTGCTTTATCCGAAATATTCCAACGCGGTACCGTATCATGCGGAACTTATGTTGTACGAAAATTTTGAATACCTAATTTCGCAGGTGAAGTTAGGTTAGCTAGACGAGATACCTTTATTGAAGGTTCTGAATGTCAATCCGCATTTGCTGACCGATCTTGAGCATTTAATAAATCATATACAAAAAATTTAATGTTCACAAATGTGATATTGAAAAAACGTGACGAAGCTGCATGTTTTCTAAATTAATATCTACAATACAGGCGATGAAATTATAATGATTGTAGTGTGATAGAGCGTGCCTCAGCGATGTCTCAGTACTTACTCTGCAATGAGTTATCTAAGCATTTTCTGTGAATTAATTTTCTTCTTTTTGTATCTGTTCAGGTTGTTATAAACACTGACACTTGAGTCGCGACAGTAATTATGTCGATAGCCACCAGTAAGAACCATTAATTCTTCAACCAAATTGGATCATAAATTTCATGTAAAAAGTCAACATCTTTGCTTCTGGGATATATCATAAAAATATGGCATCTTATTTTTCTGATCATGTATTATTTTTCACGTCAGAACGGCGAGTCAAGCGCAGTGATAATTTTTGTGTCATGTGACGGACGTTAGTGAGTCATTACTCAATATAATTTGTATCATAATAATATTATTAATGTTAATTGAGTTGATGTTTGAAGTTTCCTGCCGTTCTGCTGACGGTCGAACATTTTCTGGTTAAACGAACGGTTGTTCCTGAAGTACAGGGGCCATACTTTCAAAACTCGCTAAGTAAACGTAAGTACTTACGCTCTATTTTCTTGTCTATGATTGGTGGATTTTGCATGAAAGGCCGTCAATGATTGGCTGATGAACTTACGATCTCTTAATTTTTTTGAAAGTATAGGCCCTGGTAGTTTGTGCTGTACACGGGGACAGTAGACGCGTCCAGTACAACTTACAAGTACTAGCCATCACGATTTACTGTACTATTAGCCTCGTTAGTTCTACTGGTCACGGAAGACGTCAGTAACCCATATACACGAGGCGGGTAGTTAGATAATTAGTGGCAGTTGTACTGTATTTGAAAGTCTTCGTGGCCGCCACTACTATCCCGCTGTATAAGCATTCGGAAACTGTTAATGACGACAGTGAAGTAAATCTCCTCTTGCCAATTAGCACCAAGAATACTAGAATAATAACTTACCTTATATATCCGAACCTGGTTTTTCATCGCACTACAAATATATAAATATTATTTAGTATTTTGTAACCATATACTTTTCCGTTTTCGGGCTCAAACGAAAAATTCTTTTGCAATTCAATAGCTCATAATTCCCAAAACTCTGAACTCAATTGCATGAAATATATAAAGTAATTATATAATTACTATTCATATAAGTAATTATCAACAATACGACGCGATAGGAATTATTGCGTATTATTGCGACATTTCGCTTTTGATTTAAACGCAAATACGCAACGTTAGCGCAGCTCTCCAGCTCCCAATTCGCACAATTCTGAACGGGTCTGCATGAAATTCATAACATACGTAATTATGAGCGATATCTCGCGATTGAAATTATTACAAATCAGTACAACATTTATATTTTGATTAAAACTAAATAGAAAAAATAAAGTTAGGTTAGGTAGGGCAGATCATTGGGATGAAATTATAATTGGCCGAACCTAATCAATCTTAACCTAACCTGTCTTGATTTAACCGATCTAATTTTTAGAATATTCAGTTTAAAAAATAAATATTGATAAAATATGTGGTAATTCCAATGGCTGCGATCTTCTAACAATTAATTATGTTCTTAATTTCTTGCAGATACGTTCAGAATTGTTGACATGACAAGTTGTTGAGTTGGGTTTTACATTGAGGCCGTGGGGGAGTTCGGCGAAAAGGTATATCAACGAGGTGAAAACCACAGGGCGACACACAGAATTTGTTCATTCCGTGGACAACCGCCGTCGAGTGAGCACTCCCGTGTCTCTTAGTGTTGCGTTCGCTGGGTGTTCGTGTTATAACATCGATCTTTCTATTCCTTCTGAGGCTTCAAAACAATACATCTCAAATTTACTTTATACCATATCTACCGCATTGTAGTAACAAGCTGTGGTTGATTTTAGCTGTGGTCTAACCTCCAAACCCAATTAACCAGACCCGTGAGACGGGTTGAGGAGATCCCCTCACGCAGATTCAGTTCCTTGAGTGTATTGGAAAGCAAAGAAGACGATGATGAATTTCCCAGCGACGAATACGAGTGGCTCTTCTGCGATGAAAACAACCAGTGGATAAAGTATGGCCAAATTAGTTCTGGAAATGACGCAAATTGTATTCCATTCCAAGGTTCTGATGACATCGAAAAGCATTACAAGACCCAGCCTGGCCAGGCGATGACAATAAAGAGCCGGCAGCATACTTACGAGTTGAGCCTAACGACCATGACGCAAACTAACGTGAAAACCAAAGTTAAGCGACCCATGAGGCGTGTAGCCAAAAATTCTGGCGGTACCAGCGGTAGTGTTGCGGTGTCCATGCAAGTGGCGTACGAATGGTATTTCAAGGAGGACGATGGGTCGTGGGTTAAGTTTGGCTCCAAAGGTAATTCCGACATTACAAGTATCATCGAAGACCGTTACCGGTCTAACCCATCATCCTGGTTGAACTTTTCTGTAAAAAACAAGTCGTATTTTTTGGATTTCTCAAAAATGACTCAAACTACCATCGGGAGTGGCAAAGCTCGAAAGATATTCCGACGCAAACATCTGGTATCCATGGCAGGAGTTGCTTCCAGTTCATCGTCCTATAACTGTGGATCAACAGAGGTGTTCACTCAAAACCTCTATGAACAAACATGTTCTACTACTTGTCTTGAAGTAAACCATGCTGAATACGCCAAAGTTCACGCTCTTCTCAGGGCCGAAATTCCAAACTGCTACATCAGAAGCCTCTATAAGGTCACCAACCCATACTTTAGAGCAATTTTTGATATTAGGAAGGCTCATCTACAGCGTAAATATCCAGGCGTTGTTTATAGAGAAGAAGATCTCTTCTACGCGACAAGCTCCATCAAAGTCAGTGCAATACTTGAAGAGAATATTGACTGGAGAATTCATGAAACCATTATTGGACATGTGATTTCAAGAGGGGCTCATTTTACCAAAAAGTAAGTGTTGCTGAATTTATTGAAGTCCAAACAGTTTGTGAATTCAATCTGGGCTTCCTTATCGTTGATGTACGATATTACCACCTCTAATGCACCCACAGGTTACATTTTGACAGTATTTATTTGTAGGTACTTTCTCATCTTAACCTAATCCACTTAAACGATTTACCAAGAAGTCTTCCACCATTTAATAATGCAGTGGCCATTAGTTTGATACAAAAAATTTCAACATTACAATTAGAATTCCTGATTGTAATTCTAATTACAAATCCACTATTCTTCCTAATTCTACAATTTGAGCCGAGATTCACAAATTCTCCAACAGGCTCATCTACTACTCATGAGTGTAGCTCGTTGTAGCGTATAGCAAGTTAAACTTGAAGGTGAACGTTATAATTTAAATTATGCTGGTTTTGAAAAAAATTGTGAACAGATTTTCAAATGAGAATTAATATGCGATTGGTTGTTCGCTGTTTGGTTATCTCGTGATATCGGGGCAAGAGTATCATACAATGTAAGTATAGTGAACGTTATCTCCGCCTGTTATCTAAAGCGCCGTCTTCATCTCCATGTGCATTGGTTAGAGGATGTTCAATAAATACACTTTTTGCAAATATGACATCTGTGTGCTTACAGAATATAATTTAATTTACTATATTTTTCAATTGATAAGAGACGATTTGCCTTTTTATCGTTTCCAGCCGCACGATTTCACATTCTCAATTTTTCTAACCTAACAAACCGAACGCAGAAATTGCAGAAAAATATGTACTCGGTGAGTACTTAAAATTTTATTTTATTGAACATTAATGAAATCAATCACCATAAATAATAATAATAAACAATCAATAATTTTATTTCAAACCTTTAGTTTAAAATTGTTTATGAATAATTAATCAACGTTTACAGGGCTTTGAATATAGGATGTCTTTGTGCTCCAAGATGAACATGGACTTTACATTGGAATGGCAACAACCCTTGCAAAATTATTTTTAATATGACCACCAAAAATTTATATCTCAGTTGACGTATAAAGCGAATTTAATGCAAAAATGCATATGATTATTTTTATTCCAACCATTGCGCCATATTCATTTCAGTGAGGGTTGAGTACATTTTTTCATAAATCAATAGTTTCTCCATTTACCTGTAACTAACTTCAGGATATTAATCATTATACATCTATATAAATGAAATATGTTGTGTTTTTCAATTATATTATTAATAGAAAATCATCACGAACGTTTGTATCCTGGGTTGATAAGAATGATCGCTCAGTCTCTGTTGAGCTGTCGACAACTGAGGTTAGCCATTTGGCTGTCGCATGGTTTAAAATTTACTATTTTACCTTGTCGGAACACTTATATTTCAGTTATTTCAGGTTAAGTTTTATCTGGTGATTAACATTATTCGTGACGTATTACGGTATTTCTGAGGTACAATCTTCATGGTTACAAGAGACACCAGTTATTGTTTACGTGAGTTACAGTTGACTTCGTTTTTTGTATGCAGCATGGGAAGTGACTCTTAAGAAGGCGGTGTAAAGAGCGAGTGACGAGATAGTGATAAACCATTTAGATCTGATAAAAATATCTTATCTAGGGCTTTAAATAATTCGTGCATTACAAAGACTAAAATCTCTGGTTCCTTTAGCGCTCGTCACTCATGAATCAGTTCTTATATTGGCCTCCATGCCTCGCTACAGTTAGCAATCTTCCATCTGACTCGCCAGTTAGTCATTAAACGATTTTATTGATATCAACCCATGAACGAATTCCTGCATTGAAACGTCCTTTAACGTTATTGGTCGGAAAGGTTTTATATATTTATAAGATTTATATTCTTTATCTAACTCGTGACCTGACGACTTGCCTGATTTGCAGACCTTCTCATGTCAGCGTGAGCATCTCACTATGTGGACTTGAAGTTCTATTTCTACTAAACAAAATGGGGAGTTCAAACGGAAAAGAATTGCCGGCCTCTCCGCTTGATATTTGTGAAGACTTTCTGACGAATTCATGCACGAATAATAAGGAGACGTGCACCAAAGTTCACACAAAATTCCCGTTCCTCTGGCAAATCGAGATGGAGGAAAACTGGCATAACTTTCCTGAACTCCACAACAAGGAACTTGAGCGGGAGTTTAGAGTTCCTGAATCTGATGGTGTCCAACTCCCTGCCGTCCACCCGATAAACAATGAGCAATATTCCGTCACCAATAATGTTTGGTACGCAGATTTCGAGAAGATGACGGTTGACGGCGATGGCCAACACTTCAAGATAAGACGTTTGTCGACTGAATCAAGTGCCGCAAAGAAAACCACTTTCAGTACCGACTACGGATGGTTCTTCAAAGACAATCTATGTCAGTGGATACTTTACGGACATGTTGGGCTGCCTGAGCAGAAAAACGATTCAAATTCTTACGCTCACATACCAATGTCGTCATCAGACGATATCGAGCAGCAGTTTTCGGTGAAGGGCTTGAAAACTTTCTCAACTTGTAGTGCCGCATACGCGTACAAGCTAGATTTAGAGAAAATGACCCAAACTAACCAAGAAACTGAGACCACCCGACCCTTGAGACGACGTCCCAAAGCTGGGACACTTAATCCTGGTTTAGGTCCCGTTGGAGATTATACCCCTTCACCAATGGGAACTTCTGACGTGACTGGTGGGGCGACTGGTTCATCATCTAATCCAGGCACAACCAATCTATTCACTGAAATCCCCTTTGGACAAACGAGTAACGCGACACCCCTTGGAGCAAACCACGCTGAGTACAAAAAAGTTCTAAAACTCTTGAAACCTACCTTGCCTAACTGTAACCTCAGCAGCATATTCAAAATCCGCAACCTTTACCTAGAAACCGTGTTTAAAAACAGGAAGATTTACCTACAAAGTCAATATCCAAGTGTTAAGTACAAGGAAGAATACCTCTTCCATGGTACAAAACCTGCTAACGTCGAAGCCATCCTTGAAGAAAACATCGATTGGAGACTTCATGGATCCAACGTAGGACAAATCCACGGAAGAGGAGCTTATTTCTCAAACAAGTACGAAGATTCAAGTCTTAATACTTAATGACTGTTTTTGTGAACGTATGAAAAATTTTATAGTGATCACAATTTCTCAATTGTGATCACTCATGCTTATCATTTAAGGCCAAAGCGGCCCAGTGGTTATAGCTCAGAGTATCAGGATTGGAGCAGAGAAGTGCAGGTTCGATTCCAGCTACGTGCGAAAGTTCTGGTCAGAATTGGCAAGCAGGCCGGGCGGTTAAGCAAAGCAAAAGTGGAGCAGTGAGTTGCATGTTCGAGACCGCAAAATCTGCGATGTTCTGCGATGTTAAGAATCGACGACTGGCCTACGGCATAATAAATGCTGAAATCACTATATTATTTACAATAATTTCGTTTTCAGACGTTACTTGGCAGTTCTCGCTTGTGTGACGTCAGTATTTTAACATGGTTTATGCATAAAAAATTTATAATAATTAAGGAATGCCTCACGATAATCCTGCGTAGAGCAAAAACTTTGAAACTCCAAAAGTTCCTGCCGTGAGGTGATCATGCAGATAAGAACACCACGATTGAAGCAGTGAGCTGCCGGCCTCCAGCTATAGGTGTGAAATTTCCGGGTAACATAGGTTAGGTGGCATACTGTTATAGGAGTTCACGCAAACAGTCAAGTCTGGTTTATGAAATTTACGATTCAGTTTTCTTACTCCAGTTCGTATGAACGCGTTCGCAGTTGCACCCTAGCCCTAGAAGGGATTTATTGTTGAAATAATTTAATATCTTGTACTAGCATTTGGAAAAATGCTAATACGACTTAAGCAAACACTAAGACATAAATTTTTCAACATTTTACCCGTCGTTTTAATTAGATTTCTCCGCCTCTCCAGCGCAAAAACATCCCGCTGCTACGGGGAGGTCATCTTCGTTTGCAAGGTTCTTGTTGGTCTCACCGCCCGCGGCGACTCTTTTACCGTCAAGCCTCCGAAAGACGGGTACGCTTACATAGCGGCCAAAGGACGAAAAATTGTTGAAATACTTTTCTGCTGCTTTGTGGAATCTTTTTGTGTTATACTTTGTGTAATCTTTTTGTGTAATACTTTATGTAATACTTTGTGTAACACTTTGTGTAATGCTCTGTATAATCTTTTTGTGTAGTACTTTGTTTAATATTTTGTGTCATATTTTTGTGCTTCTGCAAGATTATAATTGAAAATTACGTGTACTTTGATAGGATACAAGATATATTCAAGTGATGTGCACTCAAAGCAAGGTGAATTACTTCAAATACTAATATTGGGCTTCGTAAAAAGAAGATATTATTTTTCAGCTTCAAAAAGTAGCAAAACTACCATCCCCTCATGACAAAATGCCATCCTAAGCTGAATGATGATACAAGTCATATTAAGTCATATTATTATCTTTATTTATCATGTTTTATTTTACAGATCCAATCGGCTTGTTGACACAACAGTTGATGATGTTGCCAACCCGACCATCTTCGTCAAGTATGATACTCAGGAGTACTACCCTGAGTACTACATTGAAGTTGAATTCAAGGTATAAATTTTTACATATAAAACTAATTTTCAATGAGATTACCTGTTCATTAAGAGCATTGTCGATACTGAACTTTTATTTTATTTATTTAATCGCATGAGGCGATCAAAGATGAAAGTTCATGCCAATTAAAGCGCAGATTTATTGACGTTCCCTAGTTTCAAATTATTATTCATTAAGTTTCGCTTTAGGGAAGTTTATTGACATACTATTAGTTTCTAGGTGTGAACAAATGCAATTTGTTCGTGACCACCCGTCAGCTAGGTAAGGTATTGAGTTCTTCCGTCATGTTGAAGACGGTTTCATGTAAGTATTAGTTGGGTATTTCATGGACGATTTTGCTGAATTAAATTTTTTTTTAGATATCAACCCTAGGAAGACTGCGAGTTAGTTTCTAGAGAGAAATTTATTTTATTAAAGCATAGCGGTGAATGTACTGACATCAAAAAGTTTCAATTGAAACAGGAAATAAAGGCTCTATTATAGTCGCTAGGTATGGTCTTTACAAATCGAATGATATCTTTTTCATTGCTGTAGCTTGAATACTGTAGGATTTATAAAGTTCTTACGATGGCTTTTGTTGGATATTGTAATTGTTCAAGGGAGCCAAATATGGTTACATGAGGCAGCGAACCACCTTTTTTTAAACTATATTTTTGATGGAGTTTTAATTGATACGAGGTGGTTCTTTGTTTTGTTTAAAGTTACAACTAATGAGGGATGTATCATGTGAATTAGAAGCCTATAGAGTTATTCAATTTTTAAAGAAACACTATTTTTTTAAAAAGTGTCAAAATAAAAAAATGAAAGATGGGCGCATTGCCCCATGGGCTTCGGGCAAGGCGCCCCACCCTTGGTCCCTTTACCCAAATTGCACGAGACGTATCTCGTGGTTCAACATCAAATTGCACGACTCGGTGGTTCAACATCAGATCCTTATAGAGATAACTGATTACAAAAATTGTTGATGTACTAGATGAATGAATCTTATTTTAAGAAATGAATTGAGGTCGATCTTACATATAGACATGTGGCATAGTAATTTGTTTCCATTTAAATTAAGAGGCTTGACTAGTTAGTGTCGCGAATCTCGCCTGTGCGTTCGGCGAGTATTACTACCCAAATAAATATAGAAATTTTTAACTACCTGTTCATAAATGTTGTACTTAATCATAAAATATTCAAACTCGGAATCATATCTTGTGGAACTTACGTTTTAAGAAAATGTTGAGTACTTAATTTCGCAGATGAGGTTAAGTTAGCGAGACGAGATACCCCTACTTAAGCTTCACATTGTCAGTCCGAATTTGTTGAGCGATCTTGATTTCTTAATAGATCATATAACGTATTTAATGTTCACAAATGAGTTATTGAAAAAACACGATGAGGCTGCATATATTCTAAATTACTATGTTCAAAACAGGCAATGAAATTGAAATGATTGCAGTGTGATAGAGCGTTTCTAGCGGTGTCACAGTACTTACTCTGCAATGAGTTATCGAAATATTTTCTGTGAATTAAATTTTTTGATTTGTATCTGTTCAGGTTAATTATAAACTCTGACACTTGAGTCGCCACAGTATTTACTATGTCGCTAGCTTACATTAAGAACAATTAATTTTTCAACCAAATTGGATGAGAAATTTTATCTAAAATCTCAACATCTTTGCTCCTGGGAAATATGAGAATATGACATCTTATTTTTCTGGTCATGTATTATTTTATTCATCAGGACGGCGAGTTAAGCGCAGTGGAGCCTGAGTAATAACTCTTTTGTCATGTGATGGTTGCTAGTGCATAATTTAATTTTTTAATTTTTGTCATGTTAATGAACATTGATGTAAATCGAGTTGATGTTTGAAGCTTCCCGCCGTTCTGCTGGCGGTCGAACATTTTCTGGTTAAACGAACGGTTGTGTCTGAAGTCCTGGTCGTTTGTGCTGTACACGTGGACAGTAGTTGCGTCCAGTACAATTTACAGGTACTAACCACCACTATTTACTGTACCATTAGCCTCATTAGCTCTACTCGTTTTTTAGGATTTACACAGTCGAGTTTGGATTTAAATGTTTATTTAATTAACGAATTCAAAATAAGTAATATTGGCTGGAAGCAGCAAAGGGAAGGTTTTCATTTATTTATTGCTATGGCAGCAGTAGCTGTGAAGTAAAATCGGTTCTTATTAAGGTTAGCTTACTCCAAGCGCGGCTAAGTTTCAAAGGACTCCAGGTGTGGTCTCCTCATCGCTGCGACGTAGTCGTGCCAGATAACGTAGACGTGACGTAAACGAAATAACGTAGCAATAGTGAAAGGTGCATCGTCAGTAGGACCCAAAACTTGAAGAATGTAGATACTAGAAAGAATGTATAATCTTGGTCAGGTTCATACAGGATTTGATAGTAAAAAATAATAAGCAGCAATTTCAGCAACAAAGATCAAATTAATTTAAAATCTTTTAACTGATCTGAGGTTTTTAATGCCCAGTGTTACGACTATTTGAATATGAAAGGAATGAAGAGTTTAATTGTAGAAATTTAGCGGAGATCAGTTAGAGGAGTAGGGAGTTGGACGGAAGAAGACAACAAAAAGAGCTAAAGGTTTTACTGCTTGTTGAAAGAAGATGAAAGACTTGAAATTAGGATGGCACATTCCAAAACAGTATAACCAACTGCCATCGTGAATTGCACGACCCCATTTCTGGCAAAATAAAACTATTGATATTCAATATACATTGAGAGGAAAGTATGAAATAATTTAAAATATTTACTATAATTCTATATATATTTAACATACAATATATTTAACAACTTTGATATATATTTGATATAGATTTTATTAAAATAAATTTATATATATATTAAATAAACTCAACAAACTTTAACATAGATTTGAAATTTATTAGATATTAATTTGACAGAAATTTAAATTTGCTTAAAATGATGCACTTAAAAATGTGTCCAACTTCCCACAGGAGGAAAACAAAACATAGTTATTGCAAACCAAACAAAATGAAAATGACACGGCATTTGCACAAAATTAGGGACAGCAAACCAGGTTTATAGGAAGTTTGAGAAATACTTAATGAATCACGAGTATGCTGCTTCTGGAGACACTGATTAGTTGGCGGCACAAAAAACTGTAGTTCGATTGTACACAGAGTGACGACCACCGCTCGGAACAGCTTAGCAAAAAATCAGTAGAGATTGTTCGCCCAGTTTCGGACCTTGACTTGTCCGCACAAGGTGGACGATATCCCAGTTAAAATTTTGAGCCGAGCTCAAAGCCGAGCTTTCAAAGCTTTTGAGCCGAGCTCAGTTAAATTCGCGCTGTAGTAGGCTGGAGTCGTGAAACTATAACTGGCCATCTAGCTCTAAAACTGCGCTGTACCAGAGCTAATATAGGGAAACAACCCAGCCGCGCGACACGGCAGGGCAACGGCGCTGCGACGAGGGTAGACACGGCAGGGAGTTGCAGATAGCTATTGATGCAGCAGTAACTTTCAAGGGTATTTCAAGATATGGAGGTGTCAAACTTCGAATGCTCTATATAGATATATGTTATGCTAATTATCTAAGATATATTGCCTATGGCGGATAGCATTATCCTGGTGCTTTTGGGTCATCGTTTTTGATGCATTTTTGTGCCCGATCGCAAATTATAGATTGTTAACGGTTTGATAGAATTTATGACTTCAATTTTATAGCAACTGCATTAATTGTTTATCATTGATTGACCAATTGTATCCAAATTATACTATCAATTCTAACAACGGTTCTTTTCATCTTGACGATTAAGAAACAACTTCGCAACGATCTAGGGTAAAAAAGCTTATTTTAGAGTTCCCCTAAATCATAATTATTTAATGAAAACAGCTCGAATCAAATCATAATTAACTCAAAAGTAAGTCTCATCATTAATTGCATTTTTATAATCCGATTTAATGATTTTCCATGAAGCTACTGTGCTTTTGATCAATTAAATGGATAATAATCCAAGTGTGCATTTCTTGGAATCGGGTAAAATGCTCGGTGCCCGGGAAAGTAGCCGCGTAACGGCGCACACTTCTTTCTTCTGGTGTTGACGGTGTGGCTGAGTTGAAGTTTTAGTGCAATGGACAAGCGAAAACGACCATACCAGTGTCTATCAGACCGACAAAAGCGAAGAAGAAGAAAAGCATATTTCANCATTTCTTGCAGGGAAAGTGTTCTAGGTTTGAAATTATTGAACTAAATGTTAGAATGAACTTTGAAAGTCTTACAAAATTTGTAGGTGTTCATTTCACAAACCAATCGTGGCAAGTTGTGTCTGAACGTTGGTTATTCAAAAATAATGGCCGGATTATGTGCTACTGGCTGAGCGCAGGAGAAATCATCTCTTTGGCGAAGCTTGATGTTACTGAAGACTACCTACTCAACATGGACTATTCATCATGTCAAGTAAATTGCTGAAACATCAAGTAATTAAAATTTATTTAATTTTGGAATTACTGCATTTGAAAATATTTCATGAATGCTTTCTTAAATTCTCCTCAAATGTAATGGTGCAATTACCCTGTTGAAATAGCGTTTTTGATTTACTCAATTTATTCTGATATATATTTTCACTAACATATAAGATTGAGGTAGATTGGATGAAATTCATTTGCTATGCTACATTCAATGATGTATTGCAGTTCATTTCTGAGTTCAGACTATTATACATTTATACTTAAAATTGCACACTTTTAAAATTTTCACTGCAGGCAGCTTAGCATAAATTTGTTTCTATTTTCATAAAAAAGCTCCATTTCTCCAGATGACTACCACAGAACGGAATGGAAGATGCTGCAGGGAGAAATAATCACAAGCAAGGCATCAGAAAAGGAATCTGTGGCCAAAATGGAAGTTCTTTGTGAGTATTTTTCTATTACTCTACAGGGTTTGCCATATTTATGGCTATACATGTTTTTCTTATTTCTCAATGAGCTAATAGCAAAGAAGTGCCTTAAAAATTCTCAAACATATTTAT